GCAGTAATTCACATTCTTAGTTCTTTCGGTAAAGTCACGTTTATATATTTTATTATTTTGTTGTTTCCCTTCAACGTGACTTTACCGAAAGAACTAAGAATATGGGTTACGGCACATTTATAAATAACGCGATCTAACCCAAAAAAAAACCTTCATTATGAATGTTACACGTTGTGTTTGCGTGACACAAATCTTACAACTGACTGGCCGCGACGGGTTTAATGACACGGCATTCATCCTCACGCAATCCAACACAACAAAAAAAAACCCCTTTATAACTTGGTATGTATTTATCGCAGTATTGCATGCACAGGTGCAATGCCACCGTTGTTTGCGAGTCCTAGCAAATGCCTCCCGTTGCTGTCCAGCCGTAGCAAGTTTCATCACAACCACTGTACGTGAATACGGTACTGGGGCAGTCCTTGACTTATGGGTTTACGTTTCCGATATTGGTCAATAAGTGGAGTGGCCCTTCGCGAGTCGGAACACAGAAATATAGCTGCGTTTAAATGCCTGTATGGGGAGTTTTTGTATGAAATGTGCTGCGCGTTTCAACAACAACAACAAAAAAAAACTGGGTGAGCATTAAATTTTGATTTAAAGCTTTCGTGACTGCAGTAATTCATATTTCCTAGTTTTTTCGGTAAAGTCACGTTGAAGAGAAACAACAAAATAATAAAATATATAAAACAATAAAAAAAATTCTCACGACGTTTCGACCATAACTCAAACGGTCATCTTCAGGTGTGTTGGTTCACATAAATTTATTTTTAAACGGCGCATTTATTTATTTATAAAAACGTTAGCGTCACGCGCAGCGATTTGGCAGTTTATTTAGAAGGACTAGTCCATCTATATTCTGAAAAGAGGAGGGGGGAGACGAAATTTTTTATAATGTATGCTGTCTGAAAGCCACTGTAAGCGTGATTCTATCTTAGCAATCATTGGAAAGATTTGATAAACCATTTCAGTTCTTAATTGATTGTTCACGCTTACAGTGGCTTTCAGACAGCATACATTATAAAAAAAATTCGTCTCCCCCCTCCTCTTTTCAGAATATAGATGGACTAGTCCTGGGTAAACTGCCAAATCGCTGCGCGTGGCGCTAACGTTTTTTATAAATAAATAAATGCGCCGTTTAAAAATAAATTTATGCAAACCAACACACCTGAAGATGACCGTTTGAGTTATGGTCGAAACGTCGTGGGAATTTTTTTTTATTGTGTTTTATATATATTTTATATTATTTTGTTGTTTCTCTTCAACGTGGTGACTTTACCGAAAGAACCAAAGATTATGGGTGAGCATTGTTAAAACACGTGATCGAGAAGACCGGGCGGTGCACGTGCACGCCCATGGTAATGTCTCGGTGGTGGTGGGTTTTTTTTTGGGGGGTTTTTTTTTTTTAAGCCAATGCGACTCGGGGGAGTCGGGAGTCGCATTGGCTTGCAGAAAATGAATCTCGCGGGAGCTCGTCCCTAAGTGCGGATCTCTCGCTAGTCGGGCCTCCACAGGCGGTGGCTCTCCCGCGAGCGCGGGCGTCCGGGCGTCCGGGCACCCGGGCTGGGGGGCACACCTCTGGCTGGGGGGCACCCCCCCCGGGCTGGGGGGCACCCCACGCTTGCCACGCTTGCCGGGTGCACGACTTGCGGACGCACGCCAAGTGTGGCGTCCGTCCGTCAGGCATTCGCAAGTCGGGGTGGTGGTGGGGAGGGGGAGAGACCGCTCTGTATCTGTGACGTGTGAGCCCAAGCTGCCCCTCTGTTTTGTTTGAAACCGCGAGGCGTTTCGTAACGCTCGCCGTACGCGCCAATGAGCCACCGACCTCCGCTGTTATGGACAAAGCCACTCGCAAGAGGTCGGGAGGGGTAGGGCGGGGGAGCGGTGGCGCAGCAGTTAGCGCGCTTCTGCGTCACGAACCCGGCAGATACCCAAGTTCGAATCCCGCTCAAGTCCACCACAAACACTTCCCAGTGGCAGTAGCGATTGATCTGAAGCGCGCCTGGGCCTCCCCGAGTTCAACTCGGCCTCAAATGAGTGCCTGGTGTGGCGTTTAGTAAACATCGCCACTGGAGAGACAAAGGCGGCCGGGCGTGGTGCTATGCACCCGCACCTTCATGTGCCGTTGCCACTCTTCATAGGTGCACGCGAACAGCGCTTGCTAAAGCAGTAGGTTCAGGTTACACGGGGACCATTGTCTTTGTATCTCTGTGGGTCTCTGTGGGTCACTGTGTATCTCTGTGGGTCTCTGTGTGTCTCTGTGGGTCTCTGTGTGTCTCTATGTGTCTCTGTGTATCTCTGTGGGTTTCTGTGTATCTCTATGGGTCTCTGTGTATCTCTGTGGGTCTCTGTGGGTCTCTGTGGGTCTCTGTGTATCTCTATGGGTCTCTGTGTATCTCTGTGGGTCTCTGTGTATCTCTATGGGTCTCTGTGTATCTCTATGTGTCTCTGTGTATCTCTATGGGTCTCTGTGTATCTCTGTGGGTCTCTGTGTATCTCTATAGGTCACTGTGTATCTCTATGGGTCTCTGTGTATCTTTATGTGTCTCTGTATATCTCTATGGGTCTCTGTGTATCTCTGTGGGTCCCTGTATGTCTCTGGGTCTCTGTGTCTCTGTGTCTCTTTGGGTCTCTATGGGTCTCTGTGTATCGCTATGGGTATCTGTGTATCTCTATGGGTCTCTGCGTATCTCTATGGGTCTCTATGGGTCTCTGTATATCTCTGTGGGTCCCTGTATGTCTCTGGGTCTCTGTGTATCTCTATAGGTCTTTGTGTATCTCTATGGGTCACTGTGTATCTCTGTGGGTCTCTGTGTATCTCTATGGGTCTCTGTGTATCTCTATGGGTCTCTGTGTATCTCTATGGGTATCTGTGTATCTCTATGGGTCTCTGTGTATCTCTATGGGTCTCTGTGTATCTCTATGGGTCTCTGTGTATCTCTATGGGTCTCTGCGTATCTCTATGGGTCTCTGTGTATCTCTATGGGTCACTGTGTATTTCTGTGGGTCTCTGTGTATCTCTGTGGGTCTCTGTGTATCTCTGTGGGTCTCTGTGTATCGCTACGGGTCTCTTTGTATCTCTATGGGTCTCTATGGGTCTATGTGTATCTCTATGGGTCTCTATGGGTCTCTGTGTATCTCTATGGTTCTCTGTGTATCTCTGTGGGTCTCTATGCGTCCATGTGTATCTCGAAGGCACTACTGACTGCTGAGCCACTGCTCCCAACAGACACACAGTGCGCTAATCACTGTGCCACCACTCCTCACAAGGACAGACATACCCCCCATACAGCCTCATCAGGATATTGGGGCAAGTGCTGTTAGCGAGCACCTATGAAGGCCGGCACGGCACACGAGGAGGTGGGTGACCAGCACAACAACGCCCGACCGCCTTTGTCTCCCCAGTGGCGATGTTTACACACCCGCATACATAACTCATTTGAGGCTGAGTAGACCTAGGGGAGGCCCAGGACCGGTTCAGATATTTTCCACTGGTGTTGGCCGTGAGTGGGAAGCGTAGCCCCAACCGCTACGCGCACGCAAAGTGACACACACAGTCACTCAGTGCGCTGATTACTGCTCCACCACTCACTGACCGGCTTTTCCGGTCCAACTCGCATTCTCAGTGACTTACCCCGTGATGTCACACAGCCTCACCCACTCACTGACTCACCCACTCACCCGGCCACTCATTCACTCACCCAGTCACTGACTCACCCAGCCACTCATAGACTCACCCACTCACGCACTCACCCACTGACTCACCCACTCACTCTCTCGCCCACTCACTCACCAGGCCACTCTTTCACCAGTTCCTTCACCCAATCACTCACCCAGCCACTCATTCACTCACCCAATCACTGACTCACCCGGCCACTCATAGACTCACCCACTCACGCATTCACCCACTGACTCACCCACTCACTCACTCGCCCACTCACTCACCAGCCACTCTTTCACCAACTCTTTCACCCAGCCACTCACCCACCCACTGACTCAACCACTCACTTACCCAGCCACTCACCCACCCACTTACTAAACAACTCACCCACTCACCCATCAACTCCCTCACTCACCCACTCATTCACCAACTCACTCACTAACTCGCTTTGCTTTGTATCTCTACGAGTCTCTGAATGTTCCCCATGTCTCTCCGTGTCTGAGTGTCTCTCCTTGTCTGAGTGTCTCTCCGTGTCTCTGAGTCTCTGAGTGTCTCTCAGTGTCTCTCCGTGTCTCTCCGTGTCTCTAAGTGGCTTCCTGTGTCTCTGAGTGTTTCTCCGTGTTTCTCGGGGTCTGTCTCTCCGTGTTTCTGAGTGTATCTCAGTGTCTCTCAGTGCCTCTGAGTTTCTCTGAGTGGCTCTCAGTGTCTCTCCATGTCTCTGATTGTCTCTCCGTGTCTCTGAGTGTCTCTAAGTGTCTCTGAGTGTCTCTCCGTGTCTCTGAGTGTCTCCCCGTGTCTCTGAGTGTCTCTCCGTGTCTCTGAGTGTCTCCATATCTGAGTGTCTTTCTGTGGCTCTAAGTGTCTCTCCGTATCTCTAAGTGTCTCTGAGTGTCTCTGAGTGTCTCTCCGTGTCTCTGAGTGTCTCTCCGTGTCTCTGAGTGTCTCTCCGTGTCTCTGAGTGTCTCTGAGTGTCTCTCCGTGTCTCTCTGTGTCTCTGAGTGTCTCTCCGTGTCTCTGAGTGTCTCTGAGTGTCTCTGAGTGTCTCCCCGTGTCTCTGAGTGTCTCTCCGTGTCTCTGAGTGTCTCTCCATATCTGAGTGTCTTTCTGTGGCTCTAAGTGTCTCTCCGTATCTCTAAGTGTCTCTGAGTGTCTCTCCGTGTCTCTGAGTGTCTATGAGTGTCTCTCCGTGTCTCTCTGTGTCTCTGAGTGTCTCTCCGTGTCTGTGAGTGTCTCTGAGTGTCTCTCCGTGTCTCTCTGTGTCTCTGAGTGTCTCTCCGTGTCTCTGAATGTCTCTGAGTGTCTCTCCGTGTCTCTGAGTATCTCTCCGTGTCGCCCCTAGGCCACCCGTGTCTCTGAGCGAGTCGACGCGTCTCTGCTCTGTGGCACTGGACCTGTTCTTCAGCAACCACTTCACAGAGGCAGCAGATGCACTAAAACCCAGGTCAGTGTCATGGCCCGGTAACCTAGTAACCTGGTAACCCAGTAACCTGGTAACCCAGTAACCTGGTAACCCAGTAACCTGGTAACCCAGTAACCCAGGAACCCATGAATCTAATGACCCATAGAACAGTAACCCATAGATGCAGTAACCCACTGACCCATTAACCCGGTAACCCAATAACACAGCAACCCAATAACCCAATAAACCATAGCCTCAGAGTACTGCCAAGAGACTCAACACTGGACCATAGATTCAATACTGCCCATAGACTCAGCACCGCCCATAGACTCAACACTACACAATAGACTCAACACCACACACCCATAGACTCAACACTGCCCATAGATTCAACACTGCCCATAGACTCAACACTACACAATAGACTCAACACCACACACCCATAGACTCAACACTGCCCATAGACTCAGCACCGCCCATAGACTCAACATTGCCCATAAACTCATGACTGCATCATAGACTCAACACTGCCCATAGACTCAACACTGCCCATAGACTCAGCACTGCCCATAGACTCAACACTGCCCATAAACTCAACATTGCCCATAGACTCAGCACTGTCCATAGACTCAACACTGCCCATAGACTCAGCACTGCCCATAGACTCAACACTGCCCATAGACTCAACACTGCCCATAAACTCAACACTGCCCATAAACTCAGCACTGGCCATAGACTCAACACTGCCCATAGACTCAGCACTGCCCATAGACTCAGCACTGCCTATAGACTCAACACTACCCATAGACTCAACACTGCCCATAGACTCAACACTGCCATAGACTCAGCACTGCCCATAGACTCAACACTGCCTCATAGACTCAACACTGCCTCATAGACTCAACACTGCCCATAGACAAAACACTGCACATAGACTCAACACTCCCCATAGACTCAACACTGCCATAGACTCAGCACTGCCCATAGAATCAACACTGCCCATAAACTCATCACTGCACCATAGACTCAACACTGCCCATTAACTCAACATTGCCCATAGACTCAGCACTGTCTATAGACTCAACACTGCCCATAGACTCAGCACTGCCCATAGACTCAACACTGCCCATAGACTCAACACTGCCCATAGACTCAACACTGCCCATAGACTCAACACTGCCCATAAACTCAACACTGCCCATAGACTCAGCACTGCCCATAGACTCAACACTGCCCATAGACCCAACACTACCCATAAACTCAACACTGCCCATAGACTCAACACTGGCCATAGACTCAACACTGCCCATAGACTCAGCACTGCCCATAGACTCAACACTGCCCATAGACTCAACACTGCCATAGACTCAGCACTGCCCATAGACTCAACACTGCCCATAGACTCAACACTGCCCATGAAATCAACACCACCCATAGACTCAACACCACCCATAGACTCAACACTGCCCATAGACTCAGCACTGCCTATAGACTCAGCACTGCCCATAGACTCAACACTGCCCATAGACTCAACACTGCCCATAGACTCAGCACTGCCCATAGACTCAACACTGCCCATAGACTCAGCACTGCCGATAGACTCAACACTGCCCATAGACTCAACACTGGCCATAGACTCAACACTGCCCATAGACTCAGCACTGCCCATAGACTCAACACTGCTCATAGACTCAACACTGCCATAGACTCAGCACTGCCCATAGACTCAACACTGCCCATAGACTCAACACTACCCATGAACTCAACACCACCCATAGACTCAACACCACCCATAGACTCAACACTGCCCATAGACTCAGCACTGCCTATATACTCAGCACTGCCCATAGACTCAACACTGCCCATAGACTCAACACTGCCCATAGACTCAGCACTGTCCATAGACTCAACACTGCCCATAGACTCAGCACTGCCGATAGACTCAACACTGCCCATAGACTCAACACTGCCCATAGACTCAACACTGCCCATAGACTCAACACTGCCCATAAACTGAACACTGCCCATAGACTCAGCACCGCCCATAGACTCAACACTACACAATAGACTCAACACTGCCCATAAACTCAACACTGCCCATAGACTCAACACTGCCCATAGATTCAACACTGCCCATAGACTCAACACTGCCCATAGACTCAACACTGCCCATAAACTCAACACTGCCCATAGACTCAGCACTGCCCATAGACTCAACACTGGCCATAGACTCAACACTGCCCATAGACTCAGCACTACCCATAGACTCAACACTGCCCATAGACTCAACACTGCCGATAGACTCAGCACTGCCCATAGACTCAGCACTGCCTATAGACTCAGCACTGCCCATAGACTCAACACTGCCCATAGACTCAACACTGCCCATAGACTCAGCACTGCCGATAGACTCAACACTGCCCATAGACTCAACACTGCCCATAGACTCAGCACTGCCGATAGACTCAACACTGCCCATAGACTCAACACTACCCATGAACTCAACACCACCCATAGACTCAACAGCACCCATAGACTCAACACTGCCCATAGACTCAGCACTGCCCATAGACTCAGCACTCCCCATAGACTCAACACTCCCCATAGACTCAACACTGCCATAGACTCAGCACTGCCCATAGACTCAACACTGCCCATAGACTCAACACTGCCCATAGACTCAACACTGCCCATAGACTCAACACTGCCCATAGACTCAACACTACCCATGAACTCAACACTGGCCATAGGCTCAACACTGCCCATAGACTCAACACTGCCCATAGACTCAACACTGCCCATAAACTCAACACTGCCCATAGACTCAGCACTGCCCATAGACTCAATACTACACAAGAGACTCAACACCACACACCCATAGACTCAACACTGCCCATAGACTCAACACTCCCCATAGACTCAGCACTGCCCATAGACTCAGCACTGCCCATAGACTCAATACTACACAATAGAATCAACACTGCCCATAGACTCAACACTGCCCTTAGACTCAACACTCCCCATAGACTCAGCACTGCCCATAGACTCAGCACTGCCCATAGACTCAGCACTGCCCATAGATTCAACACTACACAATAGAATCAACACTGCCCATAGACTCAACACTGCCCATAGACTCAGCACTGCCCATAGACTCAACACTGCCCATAGACTCAACACTGCCCATAGACTCAACACTGCCCATAGACTCAACACTGCCCATAGACTCAACACCGACCATAAACCCAGCACTGCCCATAGACTCAGCACCGCCCATAGACTCAACACTGCCCATAAACTCAACACTGCCCATAGATTCAGCACTGCCCATAGACTCAACACTGCCCATAGACTCAACACTGCCCATAAACTCAACATTGCCCATAGACTCAGCACTGTCCATAGACTCAACACTGCCCATAGACTCAGCACTGCCCATAGACTCAACACTACCCGTAAACTCAACACTGCCCATAGGCTCAACACTGCCCATAGACTCAACACTGCCCATAGACTCAACACTGCCCATTAACTCAACATTGCCCATAGACTCAGCACTGTCCATAAACTCAACACTGCCCATAGACTTAGCACTGCCCATAGACTCAACACTGCCCATAGACTCAACACTACCCGTAAACTCAACACTGCCCATAGGCTCAACACTGCCCATAGACTCAACACTGCCCATAGACTCAACACTGCCCATTAACTCAACATTGCCCATAGACTCAGCACTGCCCATAGGCTCAACACTGCCCATAGACTCAACACTGCCCATAGACTCAACACTGCCCATTAACTCAACACTGCCCATAGACTCAGCTCTGCCCATAAACTCAACACTGACCATAAACCCAGCACTGCCCATAGACTCAGCACCGCCCATAGACTCAATACTACACAAGAGACTCAACACCACACACCCATAGACTCAACACTGCCCATAGACTCAACACTGCCCATAAACTCAACACTGCCCATAGACTCAGCACTGCCCATAGACTCAACACTGCCCATAGACCCAACACTACCCATAAACTCAACACTGCCCATAGACTCAACACTGGCCATAGACTCAACACTGCCCATAGACTCAGCACTGCCCATAGACTCAACACTCCCCATAGACTCAACACTGCCATAGACTCAGCACTGCCCATAGACTCAACACTGCCATAGACTCAGCACTGCCCATAGAATCAACACTGCCCATAAACTCAACACTGCCCATAGACTCAGCACTGCCCATAGACTCAACACTGCCCATAGACCCAACACTACCCATAAACTCAACACTGCCCATAGACTCAACACTGGCCATAGACTCAACACTGCCCATAGACTCAGCACTACCCATAGACTCAACACTGCCCATAGACTCAACACTGCCATAGACTCAGCACTGCCCATAGACTCAACACTGCCCATAGACTCAACACTACCCATGAACTCAACACCACCCATACTCAACACCACCCATAGACTCAACACTGCCCATAGACTCAGCACTGCCTATAGACTCAGCACTGCCCATAGACTCAACACTGCCCATAGACTCAACACTGCCCATAGACTCAGCACTGCCGATAGACTCAACACTGCCCATAGACTCAACACTACCCATGAACTCAACACCACCCATAGACTCAACAGCACCCATAGACTCAACACTGCCCATAGACTCAGCACTGATCATAGACTCAGCACTCCCCATAGACTCAACACTCCCCATAGACTCAACACTGCCATAGACTCATCACTGCCCATAGACTCAACACTGCCCATAGACTCAACACTGCCCATAGACTCAACACTGCCCATAGACTCAGCACTGCCCATAGACTCAACACTGCTCATAGACTCAACACTGCCATAGACTCAGCACTGCCCATAGACTCAACACTGCCCATAGACTCAACACTACCCATGAACTCAACACCACCCATAGACTCAACACCACCCATAGACTCAACACTGCCCATAGACTCAGCACTGCCTATATACTCAGCACTGCCCATAGACTCAACACTGCCCATAGA